TGACTTAAGGAAAGACAAACTGAATACTGAAGAAAAAAAAAAAACCAACCCCAAGAACAACTTGCCACAGTTTTTAGAAACAAAGGCATTTCAATTTACACACAGAATCAACATAAAGCGACTGCAGAAACGAGAGCTGGATTTCAGAAGAGATCATCAGCTTAACCAGTATCGCACTGGAGACTGCCAGGGTCACTGTAGACATTTGGTCAGAAAATAGCTTTTCAATTAAAAAACTAAAATACTTTCTTAAGCCCTCCTTTTCCTGCATTTATGTTTCTCACAGCTTCACTCCCTATCCCTTTTATCCACTTGTCACATCAACACTTAGACTGAAGATATAATTCAAATTCAACAGTGCTGCAGTTGACCAGTGGATGACACTGCATAATCACTTTCAATGGTATCCTTGGCAGGTATTTGTGCAATTCCATCCAGACACCACAGTGCTGCCTTTTATCAAGAGGCAAGCCTGAGCTCCTAATCATCAGTAACTTCCTATTGTAGTTAATGATACCTTGTTCTGGGTTCAACTGTAACAGTTATTTTTCTCCTTTTTAGTAGCTGCTGCAGTGCTATGTTTTCGACTTTAGTCAGAGAACAGTGCTAATAACACACTGAAGTTTTTAGTTGTTGCTAAGTAATGCTTACTCTGATCAAGGACTGTTCAGTCTCACGCTCTGCCAGTGAGGAAGGACACGGAAAGCCGGGAGGAGGCAGAGACAGGACATCTGACCCAAATTAACCAAAGGGGTATTCCATACCACAGCACATCATACCCAGTACAGAAACTGAGGGCAGGTACCCAGAAGGGCCAGATCGCTGCTCAGGTCGGGCTGGGTATCGGTCGGCAGCTTGTGTGCAAGTCTGTTCTCTCCCCTTGTTACTTCTTTTATCATTATTATTACCGGTGGCAGCAGTAGTAGTTTTGCGTTACACCTTAGTTACTGGACTGTTATCTCAGCCTGTGCAATTGTGGCCGAGTGGTTCTGAATTACAGGCTGGGCTTAAAACACAACATACCTTAAGCTGCAAATGACAGAATTAGTGAATACAAGAAATTCCATCAACACTCCAAACTACAGCTCTCAAGCAGATAAGGAATTTGCTGTTAAATTCCACATCTTTCCAACTTGTTTTCCCAAATCACAGTCCAGCAATCCAAAATAAATCCCTAAATCTAAATGCTGAAGAGAATTAACTGGAAAAAAAATTCTTCAAATGTTATTTAAAAAATAAATCAATAAATAAAAGTTCCTAATTTTTCCTACAAAATCCTGGTTGCAGATTAAATGCTGTGCCTGATGTGGTTTAAGCCCAGCTTGTAACTCGGCACCATGCAGCCATGCACTCACCTCCATTCCCCCTTCCACCCCCAGGTGGGATGAAGAGAAGAATCAAAAGAATGTAATCCCCATGGGTTGAGATAAGAACAGCCCTATAACTAAAGTATAATATAATACTACTAATAATAAAAATGATAAGAGAAATAACAAGAGGAGAGAATATAAAACTAAAAGAGGAAAGGAAAAAAAAACCCCAATAAACAGAAGTGATGCACAACACAATTGCTCACCACCGGCTGACCCATACCCAGCCTGACCTGAGCAGCAATCAGTCCCTTCTGGGTAACTCCCTCCATTTTATAGCCTGGGCATGACACGCTGTGGCATGGAATACCTCTTTGGCTAGTTTGGGTCAGGTGTCCTGTCTCTGCTCTCTCCTGGCTTTTTGTGCCCCTCCTCACTGCCAGAGCATTAGAATGGAAAGTCCTTGATCAGGGTAAGCACAACTGAGCAACAACTACAACACTGGTGTGTTACCAGCATTATTCTCAGACTAAAGCCAGAACACAGCACTGCACCAGCTACTAGGAAGGACAAAAATAACTGTTACAGCTGAACCCAGGACACTTCCAAACTTCTAACAGTCCACCAAAAAAATGAGCAACACATGTTTTTGTAAATGCTTCAGAGACCTGAGTTAAAATCCCCTGTAAGTGATGATCCCTGCTGTATCTGCATACAGATTATTCCTTAAGCTTCAACATGACATCCCACACATTTAGCCTGTCACCATATTTGGGACAGTCTGCCCAAATGAGAGCAAATTATCAAAGGATCAAATGGTACCTTACAACACTAAATATCATAACGAAGTATTGACCAACATACTTGCACCTATCAGCTTTATGTATGTTAACACTGAATTGAATGGGCAAGAATGTGCATGCAGAAAGTTCATAAATACAATACAAATACACAGAGACAGTACACATGATATGAAAGAGAAGTATAGCAAGGTGATTGGGTAGAGATAATGATAGCCTTTCAGACACAGATTTCTTCAATAATGGCTTCTCTATCCCATCAAAGTCAACCATTTCACCTGTGATACAGAACAATCAACACAAATATGAATGTTCGTGCTACTTCTTTCTGAACAGTTGCATGTTCATCATTAACCTCCTCAGAACAGTTATGTCAACTAAGTACAATACTACTGAGTAACTTCTGCAGGGCCGGATTTCCAAATTTAGGGCTTTCTGGTTTATTGTCTGCCTACCTAGTCTCTTTCTGTCCAAAATGCAGACACTGGATCAATATTTTGACTGCAAGTTTTTTGGTTTTTTTGCAATTTCACCATTTTTGCAAAAGTACTTTCAAAATGGTAGTTCACGTAATTCAACTTCTAAATACAAGAAACTTGGAATCAACTTCTGCAAATCACCTGGTCAGAATATTGGATCCAATACACAGATGTGCATCATAACAGGCTAATTACAAAGGCCCTGCTACATGTACCTAATCACACATTTCTATGTTCAGCTGAGGTCTAGAAGCAGAATCACTTTCATGATATGGCACAAAAGCTCAGTTACTAAGTCAGATCCAAGGTGCCCTCTCTCAGAAATAATTACATGATCTGTATGGATTCAGCTGGCCTTCATATTTTCTATGAAACAGAAAGTAAAACTATTATCCCTTTAAAGCTTAAAATGTATGCATTTTTAACAAGTGATTAGGCACAAAAATGGCTTTATTTGACAGACGTAAAAACTTTAATTATGCTACTGCCTGCATTTGAATGAAAATCTGGAAGCTAAACATGGGTCAGAATTCAGATTTCGTAAATCTGAAACGTTTTTATTTACAGTAGTTAAACTATGGAATACACACCTGGAACACAAAATGAGTAAAAAACAAACCTAAATTACTTGTTGATAAAGTTCCAGCATTACTGCTAACCCAAAATCAGTGTTTCAGTCCTGGGGCACTAAATTCCTTTAACCAATAAAGAACACGCTCCCTTTGGATGCTGTGCTTACCTACAAATTTTTCCACGATCGATTCCCGAGTCACCTGGTCCCCGAAGGCTCCCTTCAGGTTACCGATGAGACCCCTGACCTCCTGGCTCTCTGTGAAGCTCTCCAGGATGCTTCTCGTGGTGATGACACTCGCCTCCTGATTCTTGCCTTCCTCTGGCTCCGACCCCACTCCATCCATCTCGCCCAAAGCCATGTCCGCCGCCGCTGCCTCCCACAGCTGGGCAGAGCAAGAGCCGGTCAATGCACCAGAGCCCACCCCTGCCCTCAGCCGTCCCTCCCTCAGGCGACACCGCCGCTCCTCACACACGGCCCGCGACAGCCCCGCCCGCCGCCATGCGGCCCACCGCGCCCCTCCCGGGCACAGCGGAGGCCCGGCCCAGCCCTACCGCGCCTCCCCACGCTCTCGGGGACCGCGAAGACGCCGGCGACAGCACCGGGGAGTGCGAAGGACGCGCTTACCCCCCCCCCCGCCTCAGACCCGACCCCGCCGCGCATTACCCTGGCAACCGCAGCGGCGCTGCCCGCAGCCTGCCCGCGCTGCCCGGCGCAGCCTCGCTCCTACGGGGCGCCGCGCGGGACCAAAGGGTGCAGGGGCGGCTGCGCGCCCGCGCGAGACCACGCCTCCCACCCGCCGAGCGGGCGGCTGAGGGGAGGCGGAGGAGAAGGGCTGAGGGGTAAGGGGGGGTTCCTTGGGGACGGCCGGCAGTTCATTGTTCAGTGTTCATTGCGATCCTGCGGGCTGCCGGCCCGGACAGGCCTGGTTTAGGCTTCATCAGCGGGCTGGGGAACGTCCCCCTCCATCTCGGCTCTACCTTGCTCTGGCTGCAAATGCTCCTGCCCACTGCTGCCCACCGAGCCCACTGCTGACACCAGGAACAACCGTCCTGAATCCGGCTCCCAAGTCACCTTGTGTAGGTTGCAAAAGGCGTGTGGAAGGCAACTGGATTACGCCGTTATCCATGACCATGTTAATTTCGTACCCTACCCATACCAGAACATCAAATGCTATGGTTAGTATCTAACTTATTATCTAAATCTCTTGAAATTCTGGAAACAAAACCTCATTATCTCAATTCATAACATTCTGGAAACAAAGTTTGAGTGCTGCAAACTACAACTGCAGCAAAAAAGGGAAGGGAATTAAGTGGGCAGACTCACACCAAGCATCTGTCCCCTCACTGCAGTTAATGGTCTCACACCAGACTCTTTCCCCTCAGGAAGCTGTTTTGTCATATTTCAGCCTTAAACACAGAACATCACCCACTCTTCCCACACATTTGCCCCCTCGCTACTGGGTATTTTACCTGGTAACAGCACTTCTCCGCTTGGCTCTTGACACATCCCCAACACTAGGAAGCTAAAGTTGGGCTCTAAAGTAGACATTAAGTCACCTCAGGTTATCTTTTTACTTAATAGAAAATAAACTTGGAAGATCAGACCAGCTAACAAATTAAACTGAGTGCTCAGGGTGAGACGAGCCTCCTTCTGAGGCACGCGTTTCACCTTTGATTTTAAAGGAAATTGAGAGAAACACTTAAATCTGGTCAGGATGTTAGGACCAGAAACTTCTCTTGCCCAGTATCCAGCAACTCCATCCACACCCAAATCTCCTATCTTCAGGCTCAAATTTGTTAAAGCAAACCACAGTCACAAAAAGCAGGCACACCAAGCGTCTAGCTTCTGCAAGGCAAGTCTTTTATTTGAGCAGGAGCCTAAGTTCACATGTGCTTTCCAATGTAATACATGCATCTTTGTTAACATTAATACTAGTATGCATGCACTTTGCTGTTTGCTCAGACCTAGATCCAGCTGTCAGCTACAGATTCAACTGTGTTCTAACTCCACTATTCCACTTTTCCACTGTTACAATTGTATTAAGAGGTATAACCACACGATGACAACTTGCCGTAATTATAGCCCAAATTCAAAGGAAGTACAACATTTTAACTATTTGTATTACATTTACAGAGAACAAAATGCATTTTTAAAACATTCGTGTCAATTACAACAATATAACATTAAATTTTATGAAATCTTTATAGCACAGCCATTTTAAAGCTGATGAACGGCTAAACATACTTGAACATTTTTGAACGTAATAGTTTAAGCATTAGTCATGACAACTGCCTGAAGCCTAAATATGTGAGTTCAGTCATTGTGACTCACATCCTCTGATTCACATAAACATTTGTTGAACTGTACTTACATTTACTTTCTTTACCACTTTCTTCTATTAAAAAACACATGGATTTGCTAACATACTCTAGCTCACACTGTATGCCAGCATCTTTGGTGCACATCTCCCAAATTCTCACTGCCTATGTTTTCTGCAAAAATAAAGCAATTAGGAATATTAAAAAACTTGATAAAGTCATCTTATTTGACATTGTTCCTTCAGTAATACAGCAGCAGCAGAACAGACAAGCTTTGCCTACCGTACATTGTTTTCTAAAACTGAAAATCCATCAAGCACCAGCCAACACAGCAGCAACAGATGCTTTCTTGTCACCAAAACACTAAACCTCCCTCCCACATTTTGCTGTCCTTTTACAAGGTTATTTAAATATGTTACTATCATAGTATATAACACATTAAAATATTGTACCAAAACTGATATGTCATTGTCAAACTTGTGTGGCAACAACCCACTTTCTGACCATACAGGCAATTACCAAGCAATTACAGAGACATCCTTTTTACAAAATACCACTGTAATTTAATTTGTCATAGCAATTAAAAAAAAAAGTAAATTACATTAAATGAAAATAAATATTTAAAATGTTATTAATTATATATGCTTGCTAAGTGTAGTCTAAAGGGCCTTGCTACTCTTTAAATCAAAAAGAGAATGTTTTCATTTTCAGATTCATAGAATCGGAGTTAAACTTTGGATTAGAACACTTAACATGGAAAAGACAACAGAAATATAAATTGGAAAAGGGATGGAAAGAGAGACAGAAAAATAGAACAAAAAAAGGGGAGACACAAGGAACTAGGCAATACTCCCAGCTCTGCAGTCCCACAGCAGTAGCCCTCCATAATGAGCTGCTGACAGAGGAGCAGCAGAGCCAAAATGTGCAACCATGGAACACAGCAGCTGTGAAGAGAGACTCTCTACGGAGAGTTAGGTGAAGCTTACTGTCATGCTACTTTTCCAACCTAGTGGAGTCTTCACAAACAAGGCAGTCTTTCCTTCAGCAGGGTATGATTCTGTGCTAGTAAACTAGTAAATTAGAAATTACACAGTCACTCAACGTTTAGTGAGGCTTAAAAGTGTACTTAAGCCTTTTATCTTTCAGGTATTTGACCATCAACATTAATTCCTAGTTTGGATTACTTCTGATAAGCAGGGGCTGTTTCTTACTAAGGAACTCTATCAGGATTTCTCAGCTTACCTGGTCACTTTAGGAGTTTTCTCATTACATTTAGGGTAGATCCCCTGTACCCCGTCCCAAAATGGTTCCAGTGGTTTATGTAATTAAAGAGCTGATACAATTTGTTTCGTTTCTCAAATCCTGGAGCTTTGGGTATTTTACTGTGATAGGCAGAGAAAAAACAGCTGCTAAACCCACCAAACATTCCAGCAATGGCCAGTTCAAATTCTGAATGGCCATAGAAGGAAGCAGGATCAAAGATAATTGGCCCAGAATCGTCCTCAGCCACATTTCCTGCCCACAGGTCCCCGTGCAGCAGAGCAGGAATGATTTCTACGTCACAGAACATTTCAGGAATCTTTAGCTGAAAAAGCATGAGTAAACACGGAACAGTTAAAGAGCTTTAAAGACAATATTAAATAAAATAAAGTACTGTAGTATATAAGAGTCTTAGGTGGTCAAATACTGTCTATTTTCAGTCCTCATGGAGTGATTTTGCAATTGATGGCTACAAGCACAAACTTAAACTGCAAGTCAGTAAATGTTCTTGACAGAACTTAGCAAATCATTTAATTCAGTCTAGCAACAGCATCTACTATTAATGTATTGCTACTAGGCATGGATAGTATTGGCTATCACAAGAAATATCATATCAATTTTAATTAAAAGGTTTCAGTGGTAAAAAGGGCAGCAACAAACATCTGTAATGATTAACCAGAATTAAGGACCAAATCTGTAATGCAGAGCTTGCAGAGGAATACATTTCTGGCTGTTCCCTAAGTGCTGCGTGGAGGTGGACTTGAACACAGCAGTGAGCTTGGACCAGTTAAAAAAATAAATAAATAAATAAATAAATAAAAAAATCAAGAATCTGCCTGAGCAGCAGAATCTCACCTACTTTGTAATACCAAGATCCTAGATGGGATTTAGCATATTATTATTATTAGCTATATTCTAAGAAATAAATGTCAGTGTCAAATTACAGTTTTAACTATCTGCTAAAAACCTGAAAGAGCAACATGAATCCTTTTCAGCTGACAATATGAGGTCTGCTGTGAAGCTAATCCAGTTACTGCTGTTCATTAAAAGCTATGTAAATCCCTTATAAAAAAACACCTTTAAAATTCCACTGATACATATTTTCTAACATTTAAAGAAAAAGATTTAAGACATGGTTCATACTTTTAGCTGTGACCAAAGTTCTCTGGCTTCTCTGTCCCCATAATCTTTTTCAATTAAATCCATCTGAGCTTGGAGTCGATGGCGAATAAAAAAGGAAGGCCAATCACTCTCCCATTCATTCACCTACAGGATATGATAGAGAGATTTATCATGAGCAATAGTGGTCAATATTAGTAATAAATAAATATCAAGTTAAAATGCTTGATGCTGACACAATGGCCAAGACAGTACTAGTACGACCTACGCATGACAGAGCCTTGGGTGACATGGTCTAATGTGAGGCACCCCTGCCCATGGCAGGGGGTTGGAAGTAGATGATCTTAAGGTCCTTTCCAGCCCTAACCATTCTGTGATTCTATTCTGTTGATTGTTCTTTTGGGAGTGATGCTCTCTTCCATGTTTAGGTCAGCTGTCTTTAACATGAGATGTAAGTTGAGGTTCTAGCTATTTTCATTTATTGACATTTTCTTATGTATTTCACATGGAGAGTTTCTGGTGAGATCACGTCAACTGTTCCATATTATATTTCAAAAGCTTTCGGGCAATGCAAAAGTATTCATTCATTTTGATTGGATAATGTGTTTCTAATTTGGTGAAAAGTTATACTTGAGTTTGAGGTACTGAAAGTTCATTCAGTTAAACAGCAGAACGAAATGCGCCCATGTGCAGAGGCAGCAACTAACAGATTTATCTCTCAGAGCCCTTCCCAATGTTTTCTGTGTTGCATGATGAGGCTCTCTAACAGCAGTGGATTTTGCCATTTGAGTTCTATCTAGTAGGGGTTTAGAAAAAACGCAAAACCAAGACATGGTATCTGAAAGGATACTTATTTTATGAAGTACTGCCAACCTAAAGAACTACCACATAATTTCAGATTCTTATTCAACCCACTGTGTGATACACACATTGTAGCAAGCCACATGCATTGAACAGCCATCATGTCACTGTGCTGTGAGTGAAGCAGTGAGAGCAAAACTGTTATTATAAAGATGAAGAGCAGTGAAACAAGTTTTTTTTAGAAGGAGTTTATACACTTACATGAATACATGTGAGCTTTCACAGTCAGGGAGCATACCTGGGCTATATAACCACAGCAAGTGGGTGTATGGAATCCAAATTTATCCACGTACTGAGACTCAGAGTGACCTGCTCCTTTACCTAAGAAACAAAACAAATATTGGCAATTTTGAGATCCTTACATAGTCAAGTTTGCAAAATATGGAAATAAATTTCAGAGAATAGGCATACAAAATAATTTTAAACAGTAAGTTACGCTTCTTTCATGGTCAAAACCTTCTCTAAAGATGTAAAGAACTCTCTTAAAATTAAAGATACTGAATGGAAATGGAGGCCAAATTAATCTAGTGACTTTTCTTTAGATGAACCAGTTAGACATTCAGGAACAGAGTCCAGATAGCAGGTTCACAATCTACTGTTCTGACACTTGAACATGTTATCATTAAACATAGCTTATTTTTGATTCATGGGCTACTTGTAACCTGGCAGGTAATTTGGCCTTCACTCAGAAATAATGGAAGTCTTGGGAAAGACACAGATAACATACGTGGTGGTTCAGATTTGAATACTAACAACACTGAAAGAATAATTCTTCGTATCCCTTCCCCTTTTAAAAATCATTTTATGTATGCCTTAATCCACTTTCCAAAGAATGATGTGTTTTAATGATGTGTTTTCACTGAAGTCAGTAGAAACCAGATCATGACCTTACGTTGCTGAATTACAGTTGCCTCCAAGGAGCAACTGTTGTACATTTTACTACATATTCAAGTTCAAAAATGTAATCCCCAACATCTTTAAAGGGGAGCTTAATTATGTGTTTACTAACTGGGACCATCTGCTGAAATAATTTAATTGCCTAAACCAACAGAAAGAAAAAAAAAATCCCAAACTAGAGGATTTCTGTAAGGTCAGGCACATTGCAAGAGACTGATGGTATATGAGGCTGAAAGGTTTTACTGACAAAGAGAACAAGTCCGAATTTTACGTCTGACTTATGAAACACTGGAAGCTCTAACTACAAGTCTTAGCACTACTTCTTACTAAATTTCAGTATCTGCATGCTTATATACAACAAAGTACATACAAAATGAAGAATCAAAAATAATTTGCTTTTGTCAAGGTTAAAATATGTTTAAAAATTATAATAGTAATTCCTGTATATAATGCATACTTGAGAAGTGTGGCATAAGGAAAAGGGGGACAAATCTCATGAAAGAGTGTCCCAGTACTGACTTTAATCATCATTAAACTAATAATGCAATACTGTACCACAGCCAAATTAATTACTTAATTTTTTACTTAGTACATGATATCAATACTCTACCAATTGTGTTTCCCTCCTTTCTCAATTTCTCTCCAAGTTTCTGGTTATAAAGATGGAGATCTGCCATCTGCTCTCCAAGCTTTGAACAGTACCTGTAGGATCAAAACAAAACAAAACAAAACAAGTGAACAACATATTACAGGGGAAAAAACACTCAGTTAAATATTACTGAGTATATTTCTGACAAATATAGAACCATAAACAATTTCACAAGTGCATAAAGAGGGGCAAACAACAACTCTTTAAGAGACAGGTTGTAATGGATAATGAAATGAACATAAGACAAAGCTCTTGCAAGAAAGATAAACAGAACTCAACATTGTATAAGCAGGAGCATAGAGAGCAGAAGGATCAAGTAAACCTCCTTATCAGCTCCACATGAAGCAGAGAACATGGTATCTACTTGTGGGCCTTGTACTTTGAGATCAGCCAAACAGCAGTAAGTATGGTGAGTCTAAAAAGAAGCCACAGACAAGGATTGAGTTGAGGCTGCTTAATGCAGAAGACAGACAAGTGAAAAGCAGTTATAATGTTATACAGATAGCTGAACAGAAGCTGCAAGGATGGAAACTAATTTCTTCTCCATGCCTAGAATGAGTAGAAAATAATGGGTTTACCATTGCAACCAGGAAGACTGAGGTTAAACACTAGAAAATCTTTCATGGGAACAGTGGGATGATTTGGAAAGGACTGTTTGGGAGGCTGTGGAACTGTTGTTATTCTCCAAATAAAAACAGATAGGTTGGGGAAAAAAACAAACAAACAAACAAAAAAACCAAAAACAAACAAACAAACAAAAAACAAAAACAAACCACACCAAAAGAAAAACCAAACCAACACCAGAAGAGCCTCAGGCATTACTATGTCCCTATAGAGGCCCAGAACAAAGCAGTTAATTCCTGAAAGCCTATATTCAGGAGATTATGACTAATGGGCTAAACTCAGCCATTATGTCATTCACTTTGGTAGCATCTCAGCACATGTGGACCAGCACATGAAGCTCTAGGCTAGCAATGGCATGCCCTTTCTGCTGCAGGTAGAGGGTCAGGGGCAACAAAATATGAGGAAGTAGTGTAGACACACATGTACATAGGTATATATATGTATTTTTTTAAATATATACACACAAAAAAGCACAGATCATAACAGATATAAGCTCTGTCTCTAATAGAGATTCTTGTCATAAAGTTTTCTCACTGAAAACATGCCCCAAAACATAGTAGAAAAAAAAAAAAAAAGAGATGTCCAGATGCACCTTTTGAGGCTCTTCATCTTGAGGTATTCCATGACAAACATTGCTCCTCCTCCAGGCAGGTCAATCACTTTGATAGGCTGAGGCACTCTCACAATATTGGTTTTCTGAATAGCTTCCAAACTCGCCATTTCTCCTTCAAACATCTTTCTAGCCTGTCAGGGAATAAGAATATCCTTGGGCTAAACTATGGACGTCTGCAACAAGTACTTTGGAAAAATAGCCCTGTTTACTAAGTTACAAGGAGATAAATTATCTTGGTTAAAAAATGTAGCTACAGCAAGGTTTCACTCTACACAGGGAGACTTGAATACTTTAATTCTAACTTTTTTCCCCAAATTCATTCCAGTGTGGTAGGATACATCACATTTCACCATGATTTCCAGTTGCATATGGAGATACCAAACTACAGAGACATAGCAGTACCTGTGAGGGTAACACCCAAGACCACTTTCTTCAAAACCACAGACTACCACTATAAAATGAAGTCAAAGACCGAATCCTTAATCTGGTTCCCCTCTCCATGTAAGTCAATGGCCACTAGGTGGAGAGATGGCAGTACAAATACTAGGCCTGTACTCCATGTTTTTGAGATAAATATGCTCTTCCTCACAGCTGTTTTAGGATTGTTTTGATATTGATAAAGCAAATTTCTGATGCATTGTGGTGTTATAAAATCAATTCAGTATTCATTTACTAATAGAAAAGTGAAGAGCTTGGCCTTAAAAATTGCAAGAATCTTACTGGTAGACATAAAGAAAGCAATGGGGAAGGCTGAAACTCTGCAGCTTTAAATATAAAGCATGGGGTTTAGCACTGGCACCCTGTTCCCTCCCTCCCACTATTCCCAACTGAAACACAAAAAGGAATGCAGTGAATGCAAACTCAGCTCTAGGCTTTTCCAAATTGTAAGTACTACAACAACAGCTCTGTACTTTGCCTCCCTTTTACATGTTGCAATGCCAATTCCTGTTGTTGAGGGTTATCACACTGCATTCCATCTCATTCTGCATTAACCAAACCTACTGCACATTAATATTTCACATAAAATAGACAACAACTTTTAAAAGAAAATAGAAATGAAAACTGGAATAATTCAAAGTCAGCCTGAAAATGCTGACTAAATCATTAACAATCAGGCACTTTTAAAATAAAAAGCTCTCTACACGCAGTAATATTAGTAGTTAAATATCTGCATTAACCTGAGATTTGTGGTTGACTTTAACAAATACTCGTCCACTGTCAGTTTCATAGGCTTGGCCTTGGCTAATGTATCCTCCTCCTGAGCTTCCAAATGCCTTCAGGACGGATGTTTTCAATTCTGTCTTCAGGATCTTTTCCATGGTTGTTTCCAGGCTGCTGCAGCTGCTTTCTGCTAAATCCACTGCGAAACAGGATTAAGGTTTGGGTCCTTCTTTCACTGTCACTCAGCTATGAGGTAGAAAGGGCTGCCCACCAAATAAAACAAAACAAACCAGCAGCCAAAGGAAAAAAAAACAAAAGGCAAATGCAGAGATAATGTTTCAAAATGCTCTTTCCCGTGGGCTGTAATTACATGAAAAATAAAAATAGTTAGAAATATTTGCTAGAATAAATCGGGGAGGTGTGTCCTGGGTCCTCTCTCCACTGTGCTGAGAGCTGCTGGTATTTGTAGTTTGGACCCGTTTTTCTTTTTTAAGCGCTCTGCTCGCACTGGGGAGGCACTGCTAAACCAAGCCGCTAGAGGGAGGCTCAATGCAACAATACAAATTGCGCACATGTGCTGTGCTGTGGGTATTTACATGAAAAACGAAGTTCCAGCCCATAAAGGTGTAATTTCAGCCACCAGAAATATGTGCAAAGGTTGGTAGGTATTTTCTCTGTTTGTAGTTGCTTTGTGTGGAGTAAAGTTTTGTTGTCATCACGGAGATCTTTAAAATGCTTTCCCTTCTTGGGACAGAATTCCATCTCTTGTAAGAAACAGAAGATTTTTACTGCCTGAAAGCATCCTCAAGTCAGTGACATAGCAAAGTGCTCAGGACTGGACATTATCTGTTGAAAATTCACAATAAAAGCATCAAGCTGATAATAAAGAAGTTTAGAACACTGTTCCTATATACTCCTCCAGATTTAACATGATCTTTAGACTTCATTTCACTTTCTCATCTCCTTTCACAACCTAACACACAGAAATAAGATCCCTTGTGTACTACTGAATTTAATCAATTCCTGCTTGCAAAATGCGCTGACACCTTCACTTATATGTCAAACCTTTAAAACATGTTATCATAAACTTTGAAAACATGCTGCAACCCAGACACTGCAGTATTTGCTTTAATATGCCTTCATAAAGACAACCTTTTTGGTTTGACTCCTGACACATTCCAATCCATGGGAAAGGCTGTTCTTGGAGCAGCAATGCCTACCACCAACCTCTGCAGGAAATTTCTGAATTCTGTTACCACTGTTGCACTATCCATCTTCATCCACAGTATTACTGCTGAACCCAACATTTTTGCAGTCTAGAATGCCATGGACTTCTCTCCTACAGCTTCCACTGAAGACGCCAATAGTTACTGACTGCAACATTTCTTCCAACAGTCTTTTAATTTCGTTTTTGGTTAAAACAGAAACAGGACTGTATTAATCCAAATATACTGCATCACTTACGTAGCAGCCAATAGACAGGCAAGCCTTGTTTGCTTCCACGCTGGATCTGTATTTAACTAGTAACACACAGGTGACAGGCCTCGTTTCCTAACATTTTTGTTCCAGTCAAGCAACTTCAAACAGTATCATTCCAAACACCAGAACAACTCCAGAGCACCCCAGATGGGCTGGAAGGACCAGAGGGCCACAAAAGCGAACAGCACCGGTTCAGCACCACGGCTAGATCCCCAAAGAAACCCTATCTGCACTGGTGAGGTGTGAGGAGATGGCACAGGTTAAATATACAGGATTATTCATCTAAGTGTTGTCAGGCTCCTGGTTTGAGCCCTATCCTCTGGGTTATACTGGTAGCGGACCTTGTAACTATTCAGTTTCCCAGCTATTTTCTTCTTTTGCACACAACTGCTTCTAATATGTTTGTTTTCAAAGATTGTCCAGAAGACGGATACCCCCCTCCATAGAAATGAAGAAAAAGATTGTTTTCATGTTCTTTGGGAGTAACAGCATCTGAAGAATCACAGAAAAACAAAGAAGCTACATTAAGCTAAGAGCAAGAAAAGCCTTTCTATCATAAAAACCTCCCTTCCTCTGACAGAAGCTACTGTTCCTCAGTACTGCCGAGGCTGTAGCTCTGCATACCACCATGTCATGGGAGATTTCAGTGAATTATTTTGAGATTTCATTGAAAAATGTGTTGAAAAGTAACTGAATATTATTTTGCAAAGACAAATAATAAAGCTATCGTGAGTCTGGTGTGGCTTAAGTTACCAGAAATACATTTCCCCTTCAAATCTGTCATAATCAGTGCAGGACAAGCTATGTATCACTTCCTGTCCGCTTTTACTTCTGCTAGAACAGTCCAGCATGATTTAATATCACCAGATCTATTTTGGAACAGCAGCCAAGATGAAAAGCAGAGTAACACATTCATCCCTGCAGGCAGTTTGTGCAGATGGCAGCAGTCCATGAGAATGAAAATGAATGAATCACACTGAAATGCAGGGTACAGAGGAACTACGGGAAATTCAGCAAAACTACAGGTTCTTGCAGAGAGGTTCAAACTGGAACTATTTTCACACTTAGGACAGTCAAGCCTTGCAAAGTTGGTGTCACGGTTTAAGCCCAGCCGGTAACTCAGAACCACGCAGCCGCTCGCTCATTCCCCGCCTTTTTCCCTCCTGTTCCCAGAGGGATGGGGAGGAGAATCAAAAGAATGTAAATCCCACAGGCTGAGGTAAGAACAGTCCAGTAGTTAAGGTATAACACAAAATGACTACTACCACCACCAATAATAATAATGATAAGGGAAATAACAAGGGGAGAGATGATAAAACTGAAAAGGGAAAAGAATAAACACAAGCAATGCACAATGCAATTGCTCACCACCCAGCTGGACCCGAGAAGCGATCTGGGCCTTCCAGGTAACTCCCCCCGGTTTATATACTGAGCATACTTCATCCTTTTTCCTTGTACAAACAAGAACAGAAAGTCAGCAAAATGATGATACAAAAGTAGAAATGCGGAATGAGAGCATGGGTACAAGGAAACACGCGTGACAGATTTAGAATGCACAGAGGGAGCAAAGAGGGAGGAATAGATGAGAAGGAAAAACAGGACACATTAGCTTTAAACCACTAAATAAATAAATAAATAATAACAAAAGCGTGGCTAAAACACAATGAAACAGAATGATCAAAGGGGACAATTCAAAGAGCAGTGAGGTACAATAGGTACCTTACAATAGGTAAGGAAAAAAAACAAACAAAAGCTACCTGATAGAACTGCAGCAATTTCTTCCTAAGGGTTCATCAGCAGCCTGCCGTCAGAAGAGAAGGTTCCATCCCCTAATTGACCTGCTGTCTATCAGAAAGCCAAATGAAGGGATCCATGGCACAGAAGAGCTTGCTGTTATATTCCATTTGCATTCCTCTCTATCACTTTTAATTGTAGCATGAAATAGCTTTGAAAAAATAAGCATAATATCCCTTAAAATATAAGTCTAAATACATTTGTTTCTATTTACATAACTTGTACAAAACACAGTTCTCTTTCAACCACAAGAATATTTTGATTCAGTTCTATTAGGAAAAGGTGACCTTTGAAGACTTACCATTTATCACTCAGGTCTATGACTGACAGAAAATCCACCTTCATATCACTTCACACCTTCTAATGATAAAAAGTATTTAGGTATTTTATGATTATTTATGATTTGTTGAAGATTTGTAAACAGAACGATCTTGGGAAATAACTTCTGACTTTGTCATGAAGGCATATGGAAATAAACAGTGAAAGGGTCTGACTGCTGGCAAAAATTCCCCAGCATCTCTCCAATCAGCTGCACTAAGTGGTGTTATGTTTGGGTGAATGGGACAAGGATATAGGCATGGACAGAACTTTTCATCAACAACTACAAAACAACCAAAAAATGGGATAAGAATACAGGCATGGACAGAACTTTTCATCAACAACCACCAAACAACTGGTACAATACATCAAGTTGAAGGCAGATAGGACCTCAAATGCCAAAGCAACGGAACAACACGTAAATTCTCTTCAGTGACACACTGCTCCAGATTAAAATCAATGACCACATGTCCATCAACACCTCTGATGACCATAATAATCTAACAAATGCAGGACTTTGAACAGGTTGGAGCAGGAAGCTCTCCAAGAGTGAACGCAAACTGTAAGGTTTTAATTCAAAGAAGAGACAACAATAATCAACTGGGAAGCTTTTTATTTAAGCAACAAAGTAAAAGGAAAAGCTACTCTACCAAGCAAGGCTTTCAAACTTTCTGCAGGAAAAGTTAAACAGCCAGTGAGAAGAGCAGTAGAATTAAGGAAAGTCATATCAAGTGATGGTCTTCTCTTCCAATATTTGCTTCCAATTTGTATAAATAACTGCAAAACCAGCAACTAAAAAGCACTCAATATTCTGCTAATACCCAGTGAAAAACATTTTTAGTTAATTAAAGTAATTCCCAAACACTCAAAATGCCCGTTAGGAATCATGCATCTGTCTCACCTACCTGATTCACTTGCATTGAAATATCATGATGAGCCTACATCAAGAACAACACAATTTTAGCATTACCACCTTGCAGGTGCAAGAAATAATCTGCAGAGCTGTCCTTAGAGAACTTCCGCTACCGGGGTAGAGCTGCTGTTCTGAGAGTTAAATTTTAACTTCCTTTGGTTTCATGTCTCTTATCCCAAAAGCTACAAAGTGCACTTAGGAGGGACTGAAGAATGAGTGCTCATGGCACCTGTAGTCTAAATTACAGAAAATGTGTGTGAAGCTTGTACCATGACCACATGGCATTGTCCTGTGGGCAATGTCAACGGTCAAAAAGTACATCTTCTGTTTGTATTAGTGAGAGAAAACATCTTCACAGGATATGTACATGTAAAGTGCCTTACCTGAAAAGACCTTTCAGAATACACACTATTGGACAAAAGCATAATCCAAAAAAGGAGAGCTAGTTCTGGTGAAAACAAAATTGCTGGAGATAAGAGCCCACTGAACAGTAAGCACAGAACAGCTCACAGGAATGTCATGAGGCACCAAAATGCAGAAAAAACTATCAGCATTTTCACACAGCTTTGTTACAAAACAGGAAGCAGTCTCCATCCAATAGAATCATATCAGCATAACAAATAGCAAGTCCAAATCACCTTTCACAGTTGCCATTATATCATTTTCTTGTTGATTTTCAAAGTATTTTGTTAACATTGTTCTCATGCACATAACTAGACATGAAGAGCTGAAAGAGTCTGAGCAATCTATCATAAAGGTGGAAGGGGAGCAGCAAAAAGCAATGAGCAATGCTCTTCAACATTCTTAGTCATCTCCTCAGTGTATTATCTGTATACCCTCGCCTAGTCTTGAGCACATAATGCTTTCATGACACAAACAGATCCTTGTGCAACTGAATAAACTCCTTCCTTGGAAACTGCCCTCATAAGTTACTCCAAACTATCCTAAAAAGGGATGACTATGTTACACTCACTGATTCTAGGTCTTTAGCTGTGCAACAAGGTCAAGGGTCTAGTAGATTTCTTTAGTAATACTACTCCTGTAGTTTTACCACAAAGTATGGGGGTTTCCAAACAACAAAGTATTCTGTTTAAGTTGCAAGTCACTTTATAAGGTTTCTCATAATGTTTAGAGAGGACCCTCTGTACCCTGTACCAAAATGGTTCCAATGGTTCATGTAGTGAAAAAGCTGATAAAGCTTTAGGCGTTTCTCAAACCCTGCAGCTTTGGGAATTTTACTGTGATAAGCAGAGTAAAAAGAACTGCTGAAACCACCAAACATTCCAGCTATTGCAAGCTCATACTCTGAATGGCCATAGAAAGAAGCTGGATCGAAGATAACTGGACCAGAATCATCCTCGGCTACATTTCCGCCCCAGAGATCTCCATGCAGAAGAGCAGGAACAATTTCTACATCACAGAATAAACTGGGTATCTTCAGCTGCAGGGGGAAAAAAGCAAGACGTGTAAGGACTACATGTTAAGGTGAATGACTGCAGACTTTTATCTGTACAGATGCAAAGCATCAGTTGAAACTTAAGTCAGTTTAAAAAAAAACATAACTTGAAACAGCACAGGACCTAGTCAACAGTGATGCTGAGAAAATCAAGAGGATTTCTATTGTTCCTAAAAGTCAGCAGCTGAAGAATAGTGATCTAAATGTTTTTTTTTAGCAAGAAAACACAAAATTTAAAACTACATTCAGTGCTGTTTTCAGTGCATAATATTGACCAGCTTTAATAAGAACAACCACCACCACTCACTTCATGATTAGAAGGCTCAGGAATATCTCACCAACCTTGAAGAGATTTCTGCAAAGTAGTATACAAATCACTAATACCGCAGTCACTTAACCATGTGCAAACCTTACATGAAGGGATTATGTGCAGAACAGAACTCCTTATATACATTTCTCATTATGAACACGTTACAGAGAATGCGAAATGTGAATCAATCTAGTATTTCCCAAACAGAAAGGCAAAGTGCTATTTTCACACATTCAGTGTGGGTTATTATCATAATGTGCAAAAGCTATTATAACTTAGAATAAAGGGCATTTTAACCCCTAAAGCTGAAGTGTCTTACCAACAGAACCTGAAGCATACCAACAAACAGGAACTTTTTTTTATGAAAAACAAAATCTAAACAACTGATACATAGCTATTACTATACAGATAACTGAGAGAGTTCCTCCTACCTGCAGTTGTGCCCAAAGTTCTCTTGCTTCCCTGTCTCCTGAATTCTTTTCGATCATGTCCATCTGGGGCTGGATTCTTTGCTTGGCAAAGAAAGTCACCCAGTCATTCTGCCACTCATTCACCTGAAGAAACAGGACTGCAGATATTAGTTCTACACCACACAAAAGACAGATTTTCTTCTTTTGCACATAAAGCTTTTGAGGATTATACAGCCTTTGTGCTGCTACCACCCAGGACAGTAAATGCTACCATTTAATGGAATATTATCTTAAAACACTACATTAGGGGAATAAATAATTTTCTGTAAGTGATAAAACCCAAGAAGTTGAAGAGCTATGAATGCCCGATGCAGCTGGAAGTGCTATCCAAAGCATGGCTTTCCCTAGCAGGCTGAAGGCTAAACAATGTTTTTTGATTTTTATGACTCCACAAAAATAAATTTATTTCCATTATGATAATTTGGTTCCTTTGTTTCACTGAAAGGAAAATAAAAACTTAAAATTCTATCAGTCTGATGAAGTACAACCTACCTGTGGAAGATAGCCACAGCAGGTAACTGTATGAAAGCCAAATTGATCCACAAACTGGACTTCCATTTGCCCTTGACCTTTACCTTTCAAACCAAAGACAAAAATCCAATACTAATGACAAGGTTCTGAGTATCTCCAATGCAAATGGACCTTAAAAACTAGGCAAGGGTACAATGCTGCTTCTACTGAGCATCAAACAATTGCACCTAAATACTTTTTTTGTTACAATGGTTGCTGCTGTTGGTTTTCAAGTGTAAATCTTGATGTAAAAGCAGATCAATTACAAACTCCATAATCATATTTTTAGATAGCGTTATGTCCTTGCAGAAAATGTGGTTTGGGACCATAAGGGTCCCACATTAAATAAATTATTTGCTTACAGATACAAATAGAGCAAAGAAAAATCAAACTGAAGACTCCCTGCCTGGGCGTTTCATCGAAATCTATTTTCATAATATCTTTAGTGGAAGAAGACAAACTTAACCTGAAATAACAAAAGCTGTTTTAAGTATTTGCAGATTCTTATGAACTAGGTTAAATTTGCAAACAGCTGTGTACTGTACCAACTGTGCTCTCTTCTTTCTTCAGCTTCTCTCCAAGTTGCTGGTTATGAAGGTGGAGGTCTGCCAGCTGTGTTCCAAGCTTTGCTGAATGTCTAAGAAACAAAAATATTCTTAGCAACACTGACACAGGAATGAATCCAGTTCTTGGTATTCCAGGAGTTTGTTGAAAAGATTTAAAAAGCAAGTAAAAAGAATTCTGCATCTCTAACAAAGTACATTTTCAAGATATTCTGGTTATACAAAGATTACCACAGAACAAAATGTACATACATGGTCTGACAATACTGTTAAAAGCGAAAGTGAGCAGCAAACATACATTTAATAACAATGAGAAACTCAATTCTAATTTCTGTGCAAAATCACTTGCATACGAATTTTCAGTAAGAGATCTGTGAGAAGAGCGTGCACAACCTGGTAAGCTTTGGGGTGGGGTGGGGTTTTTTATTTTGGTGAACTGTCTTGGGGAAATACAGCCAAACAAAACTTATCTTCTTTATCTCTCTGTCTCCTGCTTCTTCTCTCTAAAAGGCCTAAAAGATGGAAGAGTCAGCTGGGCCTTATTTATTTATCTATTTTTAATAAAAGCTTATCCTCTGCAGTTCAGAAAAGTCTTGCAGTAATTACAAGTCCTCCAACCAGTCACCTCCCATGTTAACAAAAGTATGTTCCTTTTACTGTCTTTGACCTCTCATATCTTTCATGTTCTCAAGGCACTGTCATTTAAGGCAAAGTTATTCCTCCATTTGGTCCTGTTAACACAGATTGTAGCTGTCCCCTGAAACCTGTCTGCCAAAGGCTGCATTTGCACACGTTTCATCTCAGTCAGTCCAAACCCAATACTATTTCTGCTCTTTCTCCTGAAGCTCAATAAGGGCTCACCATGAATTAGAAACTCTGCAGATGAACAGGTTGAAGGGTAAGACTTCAAGCTGGCTGTAAAAGTTCTAAGACTGGGATGAGAAATAGTTTGTGCCCACCTACCTAATGGAGTCAGACACATGTATTCATCATATTTTAATTTACTGAAGGGTTTGCCACAGAGAAGGGCCTAAAATTTGAAACTATCAAAACCAAGGTGAGAGTTAAAAAAATATTGAAATCAGGATTCATTCATTTGGGGAAGTGCCTCTTCATACTCATGACAAGCAATATTAAACACCGGTTCTTATATCAAAGGCAAGTACACAAAAGAGGTGATCAGGCAGGTAATGTTCCTTATTGTAAAAAGCAGCCTTACTTTAAAAATCACCAATTACCTAAAAAAGAAACAAAAAACACCAAACAAAACCAAAACTGGACAAAACCCAAACTCACTTCTTCATGCATGACCAATTTGCTCAGTAAAGCATTATGAAGTAAGTTAGAGAGTTCTCTGCTGTACAGCTTCCCAGAATGAAGCTTGACTTGCTTTAAAAAAATATTAGAACAAGTTTCTCCTTTTGAAACCAGGTGACTTGATTGCCATAATACTCAAGATTTCTGGTTAAAGGATGCAGAGATAATACTGTGGTTTACCTGTTTAAGCCTCTCATTTCCAAATGTTCCATCACAAACACAGTAGTACCCCCAGACAAGTCTATAACTTTGATGGGTTTAGGCACTTTTATTGTCTGTGTTTTCAGGATGGCTTCCAGACTTGCCATTTCTCCCTCAAACATTCTTCTGGCCTGCCAAATATTAAAGGAAAGCATTAATCTCCATGAACATCAATCCCAGGTAAACAAAACTTTTCACAAAGCTTTTCACAAGGTTGTCAATGTTAAATAAAAAGCTTTGAGCAAGCGGTTACTGCATTTACAGGTTACAGATAGATCCTCACCACCAGACTTCATAATAATTTTACCATTATAGAAATTTCACTTCATAAACCAACTCCATGGAAGTGATTTAGGTTCTAACATTGTAATTATAAAAACAGAAAGCCTTTACAACTGAAGGAGTTCAAACTGCATGCACATATAAAAGGTAAGTATTTTGTTCATGGATCATGCAACAAATGTCTAGAAAATTATGGCCTATATACATCATCAGTTGAGAGACTAGAAGAATGGTACCAACATTCATAAACTTCATGACTTTGGTGAAAGACTGCTCAGTAATGTAGCTGATCTTCAAAACAGTTTAATTTGCAGTCACAGCATGATTTTCCCTGGCCTATTTCTTTCGCCTCATGGGGAGAAATAAATAAATAAATATCAATGATAGCTGCCAAATGCTTCTTACAGGACTTGCACACAGAAGCCGTTAGAAGCCAGGCCACTACCAACTGCATTTGCTTTGAAGACATTCTGAATTTAGAACATATGCTGCAACTGTAACCACACCAAGCAAAATCTATTCTCTTGAGCTGCTCCGCTGTGATCAGTGACACTAACCACATGAAGAAATGCAACTCTAGAAGCCAGGCAAAGGTTGCTGAAAAAGGGTATGTGGGAAATCTATACTAAAACTCTGCTAAAGCTAAAAGCAAAAGAATATAATAAAATAGAAACAGAATATTAGCCCTCTAGTAATGACACATGAAAAACCAAGGACAATTTGCAATAGATATTGACTAAAGTTCCAAAGCCCACAGGCAATCAAGAAGAAGAACTGCTGAATTACATAGCCTCTGGAACAAGCTTTGTTCAGAGGAAATGAGTAAATGCTGTATCTTTGTCTAAAGCCTCATGCAAGGTTAAAGTCAGCTGTTAACTTTAACACAGTAAAAAAACAGTGTTTTCTAAAGAATTCTGCTTTTCTAAAGAAACTGCTGATAAACACCCACTGCTGCATGCACAGCATAATGTTATAACACAGTTTGGCAAAGTTTGCTTATGCAGCACTCGGAATCCACATTGAGACAAAAGCATAGAAAATCAAATGATTACTGAATAGAAAATCTATCCAGACCTTTTTTTCCCCCAAGTCTTATCTTGTACCTAGCTAGACTGTGTACCTACAAACACAATTAACAAAGGTCTAAGCGGGAAGTCTCTGTTGGTATCAATTCTAACTATTTTCAGTCTAACGTAAAGCAGGATAACTATTCTGTATTTTCCCATTTTGCCACCTCAGAAAGCATGAACAAATTTGGAACAGATACGGTTGCATACATGCTTTCAAAAACATTTGTTTGCTATTAAAGGCAAATACAAATCCTGCTTGCACCTATGAAGGTGTTTATTTGATGGACACAAGTGTGGAGTACATTTAAAAAGTAAATTCCAGCCGATCTCTGCTTTGGCAAATAAGGATGCCATACGGGTATGTCACATAGCTGTTATCTCTATCAAGTGAAGAAACCTACTTCCTAGAGTAGCTGGCACCAAGTAGTGAAAGGACAAAGCAGGCAATCTTGGACAACAATTTTGAAAAAGCGTAATTTCTTGGGACAACCTCCTTATGTGCAGGGAACTACTGGTTTTGTTACAACAAAGAAAGATGCATACCCTCAGGGGATAATTTTATACCCTCTGGGTTGCTTGACACTTTCACAGCATATGCAGCCACAGCCACGCCACCGCTACCCCAGGCACATCACACAGCATCACCTCATTGTACCGCACACCCGGGGCATACAGCACTGATACATCACCACCCCTCCAGAAGTGCTGCTTCCATGGATGCTTCTCACCCCAGCGGCCTCCCCATCCCCGGGCACTCCCCGCCTCACACCAGGCCCCAGACCCACAGCAGCCGCCAGCCAGACCCTCACAGGGCAGAAGCCGACCTCTAACCCCGCCGCAGGACACCTCCCTAAGGCCAGCCGGCGAACCTCCCTCCACCAAGAAGAGACCGGAGGCCAGCCCACCGCGCATCTCCTCAGCGCGGCCGCTCTGGTTCGGGGGCCACCACACGCACCGCACCCTCGACCCCTGCATCCCCCACACCTCCGCCTTGGCGTTGCTCTTCACGAACACCCGGCCGTGGTCCGTGTCATAGCTCTGGCCCTGGCTGATGCAGCCGCCCCCCAAGTGCCCCGTTGGCCGCAGTAACTCAGTGCCCAGCTCCCGCCTCAGCGCTGCCTCCATGCTGCCCGCCGGGCACTGCGCGCTTCTGCGCATGCGCCGCAAACGACGCGCGGTGGGCGGGGCTGCCAAAATGGCGGCGGAAGCTGAGGTGGAGAGGTTGGCCGGTGGCCCGGGTGTTGCCGTGGGTATAGCCGGCGGTAGGGACTGCCCGAGGGTGAGGGCTTGGTTGGAGGCGGTGGGGAGTGACTTGGAAGGAGCCGCCTTTTCCTGGCTGGGGGAGGGTGAAGGAGAAAATCGCTTCTCAGAAACTGACGAGGAGGAGCTGCTGCGGCCTGATCTGAGTGAAGTGGCTGAGGTGACGGGGCCTCCCCTGTGCGTTACAGCCCACTGCTGGACTCGGGATTGCCCCTTGGCCCGGTGAGGTGGGCAGGGTGTTAAATAGCGTTGGCCAAAATCCCAGTGCGCCTGGAGCACGTTTGTACCGCAGAGAGCACATAAAAATGCTTTTATTGGAACTCATTTCCCTGGGGTTTGTGGTGGATTCTTTCCTGCTACAGTATAGATTCAGAGATGCACGTGTCAAGGAAAAGATGTTGCAGTAGGGCTGTATAACAAAGGGAATGGCTGGAATTTTAAAATACGTGGATTTAGGGTGCTTTCTGGTCATTATAAAAGTACATACTCAAATACATTCTGTTCAACAATAACAAGAACAGCTTGCTGTTATTGGACACTGGCCTGTGTAGGTCTGAAGTAGATAAATGTTTTTTACAGTTTTGCTAGTTATTTAGCAAGGAACTTTGTATTTAAAATCCAGATTTCTAACTGTAGAAGCTGCAAGAAGTTCCCACTGATATTTTCTTATTTTCTTTATTAACACCAGATTGTGTAGCTTCATGTTTTTGCAGTTTCTTTCGACATCTGTGGTCTCACTGGTTACAATCACCAGTTCATCTTAAATTATTTCTGACTACCTCCCTGCTCACTGTACTGATTTGCCTTGCTTGTGTTTTTTTATGAGTATTACACTGCTGCCTGAGCAGTTAAGATACTTAGGGATATATATTTGGTTTTATATAGTAGTTTACACAAACCACAGTTAGGATGATTTTAGACTTCTTGGTGTGTGCTTTCAAATTTTAAACCAGATTTTGCTTTGGAAATTTCTTTCGGGGCTCTAGTGCAGGAGGGTTACAGTTCAGAGGCCTCTAATAATGCCTGTGCAGCACCAAAATAGCAAGTGGTGAAAAGACTGAAGTTCTTTATTTCTAGAAGTCTATGTACCTTTCAATTCGCAGAGGTCCCATACAGCTTTAATTTTGTATTATCTGGGTTTTGTTCATGTAGAAGCTGTTATTTTGAATTTGGCAGGATTTCTGGACTTAGGGCAATCCAGGTAGACTTACCATGAGTATTTTTGATAGGCCTCTGGCCATTTCTGCAGAGCCAGGGCAAACCATCAGTGTGCTGTGTTTGCACCACATTACGCAACTGGTAGGATATATTAGACTTCTGAGATGTGTCACACAAACAGTGTGTGTGCATGATGTATTTACTTTCTTGGAAAGCACTTGATGGGAACATACTGTCAGGAACCAGCGATTTCCACATCTTGTACACAAAAAACTTCACTTCTCAGATTTGTCTCAGAATTGTCAGATTTTGTTTAGTGCAGGTACCAGGACTATTCACATAGCAGATTTGTAACAGAATCAGTGCTTTTTAGAAGTACACATTCATTGTCAGTCTACAAAATCCTTAGCTGACACATGATACCTGCAGCTTTGGCTTTTAGCCCCTGTAAATATGTCATGAGTGTGCTAAATCTTGCTTGCAGAATGCTGGTTGGATGCTATTTATTATCTTGCCTTTTTGAGTAGCAGAGAAGGGATTTCACTTAAAAGTGTTGGCTGTAGAGGCTGTTATAATTTCTGGATGTAAGTGAGAGCCTAAGCCCCAAGGACTTGTGTCTTGTTGAGAACCAGGCATAAATTAGTATGGAAACACAAATAAGAGTATGTTTTGTATGCTGGAATGTGTTTTCTGCTACATATTGGCTCTCCTGACTATTTGTGTACAATTAGGCTTAAACCCATGTTGCAAAGGCTGGATTCAAGTGTCTGCAATGGTTGGTGAAGAGTAATTGAGATTATGCTGAGGGAGACTTTAATTCTGCATTTGGAGTTTAGGAATCAGCAGCAGGTGCTGTGGAAATTAATGCTGTCAGTTTTTCTTGCACCTTATTTCTTCTTTGGAGAGCAAAGGAATAATGTCCATTTGGACACAAAGGACACTTGCTCTCTCATTTTGTAGTTTTTGAAAAGCTACAATATTAGGAAGAATCCACACCCTGCATTTTTATTAAATGACACTTCTGCAACTTTTGGAAAACTCCATATCCAGTTACTTATTTCATCTTTTGACAAAGCAATAAGAAATGAATCAGAATTTAAGTAGATTAAATGGAGTTGAAATGGAATGAAATGTATGGTTCGGTCTTCAAATACTAAGTTGTAGTAGGATATTCTGTACTCTCAGTAAATAAATTTTTCATGCTGCACTAAAGAATAACATAGTAAATGTTGTAGGATTACAGAGCAATTGCCTTTCTTTCCCTAGAATTTAATTGGATTTTACTTCTTTCTGATAACATCTGATCAGATAGGGTGTAACAGAAGTTTGGCCAAAATCATAATGTCAAGCTCATTAATTACATGGTGGACAATTAATTACATGGTGGACAATTAATTACATGGTGATCTGAAGGAGGAAGTGTCAGCTTGCTTTCCAAATTAGAGGTTAAGTCTTCTAGAAGAAACTTGGCAAGATCCACAAGACATTGTATTCCTAAAGACATTGCAGAGCATTCTTCTGCTGGAGCTTTGGGGCTCCAAACTCTTGCAGGCACTGGAGAGAGAGAGGATTTGGGAACTGCTTCTTCACAGACGCCCTTTCCAGCACAAGTCCCAGCTCCAAGCCCTCCCTAATCCTGCTGCATGCCATCTTTGCCCTTTGTGCCATAGATTGCTGTTCCCCATTTGAAATAAACACTTGAGTCAAGCTCCAAATGTGCATACAGAGCACTACATAAAGAAATGTAACCATATGCTGAAGCAGTCCATGCAGTGCAGGTCTTGCCTGCTGTGTGAAGGCAGTGTGTACCACAAAAGGCAGTGTGGGTTGATTATGAGATAATATTTTCTTCCTGCCTCCACTCTTTCCCTCCATGTAGTTTAATTTCTATTTGAAGAGTTTAAAAAGCTTGCAGTCTCTTGTTGGAACCACCCCCTTCCTCTGCCCTCTTGGGGTTCACCAGCAATATTTATCTAGTTCTAATGCACACTGGCTTGCCTGTAAGATCCACAGTGGTTAACTCTCTGTTTAAAATAGTGTTTCTTTCTGTGGAGGAGAAGACAACTGGCATGCTGGGCTGGGAGTTATTTGGTGAGTCATCAGTTAATATACACATCCTGAATAAAAAAGCATTGCAGCTGCTAATTTCTGTTTACTGCTTGACAGTATGTACAAGAAGGGAAAAGGTAATTGCTATGTGTAGCCTTTTATTGGCTGCTTTATATGCGTATATATATATATATAAAATGGAAGATACGCATTAGGGCTTTTCAGGCTCCAAGCTGCTATTTGTGTGAATGTATGAGAAATGTGCCGTGGGCTTTTTGTCTTTTTTTCCTCTCCCACATCCATGGCTAGGCCAAGAGGGTGGATCAGGAAGCATGTAGGACTTTCCATTGTGGAAAGGAATGATTTACAAGACACTCATTGCTATTTGGTGTTAGTGCTTGTTTTTCTCTCTCTTCAACATAATATGCCTAAGAGACAGAAAAATATATTGGCTTTTTGGTTTGTTTTTGTTTTTTTAAATTACTCGGGTCACCTGTATGAGCAGATAAATGGAAATAAAATGATAAAATCCATTACAAAAATAACACATTTTGGCCACTGTTCTGATTATGTAGGGATGTTGGAATCAGAGTCATGGGTGTGTTTGTTCATTTGCCAAGTTAATGCCTTCATGGATTACTTTTCAACAGCTTCTGTAGTGATTTCAGGGCCATGATTTAGGCAGCATCTGTATGAAAGTGTGACCAAAGCCAAAGGACTTGTTCTCTGATTTCTGTTTCTGCAACAAGTGAGAACATTTTTCCAGAGGTTACTGGTTAGGCTTTATCTTCATAAGTTTTTGATATAGACTATGCCAGGTTGCCAGTGGGTTTTGTTGTTCACAAATTTCTGCTCATCAGCAAGAAGTTCAGGGAGAATGTTTGAAGTTTTGGATCATTCTGGTACTAATGAATAAGAAACTGTGCTCTTTGTGAAGATAAAAGGGGGGGCGGGGGAGAGGTGTCCACAAATATAGCTGTTTAAGAGTCTTTTTTACCTTGGTCAGAAAAGTGGTGGTGGTGGTGGTGGTGGTGTTATTTACAGTTCTGATTTTAGTTTAGCCTAATTCTGTATGGCACAGTAAAAGAGCAAATACATGTTGTTATTTCTCCTTTAACAAGGCGGGCTGGGGCTCAAAAGTGTTTTAGCAAATGCATTTTCTTTTCTTATATTCAGACAGGTGATGGGTTAAAGATTTGTGGGTGTATCCTAGCTCACTAGTTCCTGTGTAAAGTATAACCATGAGCTGACCTCAAAATAAACCTGGGCTTGGCACAGCTTTGTTCTAAACCTGATTACATCCAAATGTCAGATAAGTGGAAACACTCAGGAAAGTGGAAACATTCCAGCATTCTGCTATTTATGGCATCAAAACAGACATTTGAAAAGTATCAGTTCTTCATTTTCAACAACTGAAAAACTATATATATATTATTAAAAAACAAGGGCAAATGACCTTTAATTGCCAGGTGCATTGGTGTGAAAATACTGAGGTTTTTCTCAACTCATCCTTAGTGAACTTTAGGAAAAATCAAACATGCGCAATTTCAGTAGAGCAAGATAGAATTAGTTTGTATTTCATCTTTTTTTTTTTTCTCGTGGCATCTCAAAGCACTCCACTGAAATTTGTGGTTAAAATCCTGTGACACTCCTTTGTAATAGATGGAGCAAATGGCTTTGATAGGTTGGAAACCTGCAGCAGAAAGAATCTGAGTAAACTGGCCAAGTTTGTAAAGGAAGTCTGTGTTAGAACTAGGATTAGAGCTCATGTTTCCTGGTGCCCAAGGGTTTGCTCCAGCTGTCTAAAAGTTGCTACCACAGGAGGAGTACAGATGACTACTGTAACTGCATTTAGACTGTCCAAAATTCAAAACCAAACTAGAAGCTCTGTCAGGTGACACATCTGGATAAAGAACATCTCTCTCTGTTTGTATGTAGACCTCCAGCAGTAAAACTGTAGTTCATTGCTGCAGATTTATTATCCCATCTCCAACAGGACTTTGATTCCATAAAGTGATGACTGGATTATAGAGGGGTGCAGTTACTGCATGCACGAGTATGCCAGAGGGAAAATTGCCTGTCTGACACTGGGAATGTGGTGCTCCGATGTCCACGGGTGAGTGCTGTGGGACACTTTGAACTCCTCTGTTTGCACAGATTAAAATTACCAAGGAATGATCCAATGATATTCCTGAGTTCACGTCTGCCCTTGCAATGCTGAAATAAAAATAAGCATGTGAAGAGGATTGAGTTTTTTTTAAGGAAGCAGTAAATTGGCATCACATCATGCGCATCCAAACAGACCTGATTAGTCAAGGACTTCTTTGTTTTTCTTTTGAGTTGAAATATAAAGTATAGACATACCTCTTTCAATTTAGGTCTTGCGTTTTGTTGCAGATAATGCAAAGTCCCATGTATATGGTGATTTTATTCCCTCTGATTAGATGGACTTTTGGTAAAGTGTGTGTATGGAGTGGGGTTCCGTAGAGAGAGGACATAAACCTTTCATGAGGTTGTAATTGTTATGTGAAGGGATACTTTGTGCATACAGTGCTAGTTTTGAAGTTTGTCTGCTTTATATAAATGTTATTATACCAGTTTGACACTACTAAATTTTCTCTTCAGGTTTAGGAGTTACTCAGGGTGAATAAGATTTTCTTAAAAGATTTTTTTTTACAAGGTCATAAAGGGTCTCATTTAGAGCTTAAGCAGTACACATATACATTAGGGTAAGATTTAAGAGATTTTCCTGTAGGTCTTTGTTCAGTCACTTAGTTTTCCTCACTGGCCCAACACCTGGGGTTAGAGGAGCTGCACCTTGGTTTAGAAACCCACTGAATTTATTATAGTGGCACATGAAGAGTGAAAGAGTGACCCCTTTCCCCCAGCTCCCTACGTGCTGCATTTCAGTATGTGTTTGGCGCTGTTGTTAAGGGTAGGCATTGGGTCTGCAAGCTTGTACCACCAGGCTGGATTACCAGCCCTGGCTGAGAGCTTGGGTTTACTGCCATCCCATCAGAGCTGCATCCCCATTCTGTACAAATACAGAGTGGTGCTTGAATGTGATAGCGAGAGGACAAATCCATCCAACTCAGGCGAGGATATGATGAAAAAACATATCTCTTAAACATATCTCTTCTGGCTATGAATATCCTAAAAACCCGACTCAGGTGTGCAGAGTGACTTCTAGGGTTTACGGCTACAGCTGAGGCGTTTCTTCTGCAGGAGGGTTGTGTGGTGCCGTTTGGGTGGTGGTCCTTCCCCACAAAGGGCTATTACTTTGCACAGGCTTCCCCCCAGCGTTTCTCCACCACCCTACCCGAGTCCGGCCCCGATGCTCTGCCTGCATTCGCGGCAGCTACGGCAAACCCGCCGCGTGCGGTCAGGAGGGCTGGGGCTCGGATCGGTGCTTCCCTGCTCCCCTCCAGCGGGGCGGTGCAATTGAGCGTGATTGATGGGGGGAAGAACCAATGGCCGCCCTGGAGTCCCCTAGCAACTGAGCCGCTGTGTCCCGCCAGGACCACGAGGACGGGGATGGCCGAGGTTTGCCTTCCTCCAATGGAAGCCGAGGAGGGCGGGGCTAGTGCTTCTTCGTGCGAAGGCGGGGCGTTGTCGCGCCCTCGTAGAAGCGGGCGAGGGGTGGGACTAAAGTTTCGCAGCCCAATGAAAGCTGAGCAGGGCGGGGGGGGAGAAACGCATCTTCCAATAGTGGGGCTCGGGGGCGGAGCTCGCAGCTCTGTCAGAGCGCCGCGGCGGCGGGAGGCGGCAGCCCGCTGACAGACCGCGCTGGGGCGGCAGGTGGAGGAGCAGGACGGGGTCCCCGCAGCTCCACCCGTTCCCTGGCCGCGCTGGGCGCTCTGCGCGGAGAGGGTCAGGCACTCCGTGGGGAGAGGCGGCTGCTCTGTCCTAGCGCGACGCCCGCTGCCGCCGTTCCCCGCCGCTGACGCTGCTGTTGCCCGGCGAGGGATGGCGCGGCGGGCGCTGCTGCCGTGACGGGACCGCGCCTCTGCCTCACGGGTCCCTATTCCCGCCAGAGCCGGGTATGCCGCTGCCGTCCCACGCCGCTGCCGTCCCACGCCGCTGCCCGCCGCCGTGCCCTGGCCCCGCCGGGCCCCTGGATGGGCCGCGGGAGCTGATCCGTCCAGGAGGCTCGGGGGAACGGCGGGGAGGATGAGCTACGCGGGAAGCCCGGCGAGAGCCTACGATTTCTTGCTGAAATTCCTGCTGGTGGGAGACAGCGACGTGGGCAAGGGAGAGATCCTGGCCAGCCTGCAGGACGGAGCCACCGAGTCGCCCTACGGGTACAACCTGGGTAAGCTGCCCCCCCGGGACGTCCCGCTGCTCCCTCCGCATAGGCACGGGCGGAGCGTGGCTCTCGGGACCCTGAGCTCTCCGCGCCAAAGGAGAAAAACGGTACAGGCAAAGACAGCCTGAATGATGGAGCCTCCCAGTACCCAAAGGGGCCGTCAAGTAAGCTGAAGAGGGATTTTTGACAAGAACAGGTAGTGACACGACAAGGAGGAATGGCCTTAAACTGACAAGAGGTTAAGATGAGACTTTAGGAAGACATTCTTCACTATGAGGGTGCTGAGGCACAGGGTGCCCAGAGGAGCTGTGGCTGCCCCATCCCTGGCAGTGTTCAAGGCCAGGCTGGACAAGGCTTGGAGCAATCTGCTCTAGTGGAAGGTATCCCTGCCTGTGGCAGGGGGTTGGAACTAGATTCAGGTCTCTTCCAACCCAAACCAGTCCATGATTCTGTCTTGCTGTGTGTAGTTGTCAGAAAGGAGGTGGAATGTCGGGGTTTAAAATCTTAGGCAGGTGATTTCATCTGCAAAACTTGGAGCTCAAGTTTAAGAGAAATATCTTAATAAACAGAAGTATTGATCAAGGTGATTGGATTTATCTTCCTAAGCAGTTAATTTTCTGTTGTCATCAGAAATACTAATATAAATAAGTAAAGGGAAATACTAATATAAATGTTTTTATAGCAGATGTATCTGCTATGAAACTGCTGTCAGTGAAAGAGCAGAAAAGGAGATTTATTTTGTTCCCCACTTTATTTTTTTCACTGTCATGTTCATCATGTTCTCCATATCAGAGCAGTAGCCCTTTAAGATCAAGGTTCATGTTTGTAGTGTGTTCTTTCACTTAAGCTTTTTAAAGGGCAGAACTGAAGAGCCTCATCCATGCCAGATAGATACTGTCTGCAGAACAGGGAGTTGAGAACATTGCAGACTGACTTTAAACTACTGGCTTGAGGAAAAGGGGATTTCTCTTTTCTTTCCTTCCTGTTCTCCTCTTTTCACTCCCCCAGTCTCGTTTGTATAGAACATACTCGGCGGTTTTTTTTTCCCTCATGCAAATCTGTCATGTGGCATATTAAAAAGCAAATTATCTTGTCAAATTACCCATTGCTTTAATTTACTGCCAGTCTGTGACTAGTTAATTCACTGGGAGGCTTTATACTAACTTAGGATCTGTTGTTGAGTTCCTTGTACTGATTCAGAGGGAAGAGCTGGAGGGAGGGAGGAGTGTTCTCTGTACCACTGCTTATGAGTCAGACTGTACCTTGAAGGCATTGGTGTACATTTTATGGTGTTTGCTTAATAGTTTTGCTAAATTGCTCCTTGGGGTGTTGCAGTGTATTTACTGCTTATGCTGTTCAGGTGGTTGAAGAAAAAAGGGCAGAAAGCTCAGGGAGAGCATGCCTAGTCTGGCTGTATTCTGTACACACCATACAGTCTATACATTCTTATGCTGAAGGAGCACTTTAGTCTCCAATGTATCTTGATGTCACTGAGAGGGAATGTTCAACCAGCTCCTGAGCTCATCAGTCTTACTTCAGACTTGTGCATGTAAACCGTGTGATGCTTGTGTTTTGCTCTTAAAAAAATATTTAAGTTGTGTGGCTAAAGCTGTAACTCTGTGAATACTTTTCTTGACAGCCAAGAAATACAAATACTCTTTTTGAATTACTTTCCAAGTACTTTACGTGCAGCTTGGAAATTCTTCCTTACTACTGTTAACTTCAAAACATCTACCTACAGGGTTGTCTTACGTGCTATTTCATGAATTGTTGTCTCTTCACCAGGGTAGTTATCAATCTGAACTATACGATGTTAAGCAGATGTAGGAATTCAGGACCTCACAAACTTTGCTATGCAACATTCATTTTTACAGAGGCTGGAAGAAGTTCTTAGCCCCTAGAAGATGAGTGTGTGAGTTACAAGGGGCGGGTGGATATAACAGATGGTGTGGTAGCAAAATGTGGAAGGAACATCATCTGATTTTTAGTTTTATGCAACTAGTGTCATAATTCAGAATTTTTATTCAAGCTGAGCTGGGTGCTTACCCAGTGACAGTGTACTGCCTGATCTCACTGAAGAAAGGATTTTAACTCTGAAAATTCATAAACGTATTTTCTCACTCTTCCACTTATAATGTTCTTGAATGCATCAAACTGCATGTAAGCTGCCCTGTTTCTTTGGTGGTCTTAATCCAATATCCCTCTCTTCCTCTATCCCCTCAGCCTTTCATGATGCTTTAGAGTGTGGCTGCGTAGGATGCAGCTGTGAGGAATCTCTGCAGGCTTGAGGGCTATGAAAATAGAGATGCAGGGAGAGGGATGGAGCTAAACATCCTGTTGGTATTATGACTCATTTTCTAATTTAACTTGATTAAAAAGCTTGATAAACACTGTCTTTTCCACCGTTTTCAAGTCCTTAGTTAGCTGGGATCTACCATAATGTCAGCGAGGTCTCTGAATTGGAAAGTCCAGTGGTATGACAGATTGTGTCAAAATGTGCCACATGTATAAACTTTGAAATTAAAAAACTTTGTTGTGGAGCTTGGTGAATAGAAATAGCTTTGAGACTACAATAGGAGAGGAAAGAGATGATGTAGTAAAGACAAGAGCAATTAAGGAGAGAAGAAGAGCACTGAAGGGCCTCGAAGATGAGAACAAACAAGTTCATGTGATGAAGCTTGGGAATTTGGGCAGTTGTTTGAATTTGCAAATGCAGGTGAAATGGAATTTGAAGTTTATTGGAGCAGGAAAGGTAAAATAGAACCTGGAGGTGACTAGAATGGGGGGGGTTGTATGGTTTGATTTGAGGGGGGGTTTGGTGGCTTTTTTTAAGCCATAAGATTCCTGAAGGATTTATGTGCTGCTCTGTAACCATCTCATCAAAACTCTATGGGCTCAATTTTGAATTGCATAAGCCACAAACTAATTTTTCACAGGCACTTTATTAACTATTCAGAAATGAACCTGCCATCTTTCTCATTCCCAGGGAAATATGGCAACCTTAGGTCTTGCAATTTTTTGTCAGTACACAAGAATGATATGAAGCCTGGAGATGGGAAGGAAAGCCAGCAGTGTGTGATCAGCCGAGTCTATGCAAGCTGCCACTGGTCCAAAAGGCGTGGTTTGAAAGCATTTGGCATAGTTCTGCTGTTAAGAGGGTGTAAAATCTCTTGGTCTCTAATTTTTTTCTTAATGCCCACAGGAAAAGAGGCTTTATTAACATAACAAAGTAAGGATTGCATGGAAGATGCATTGGTGAACATGATTCTTAGAGATAATTTAGAAAGCAGTTTTATCCTGGAGATGGACAGGTAGGCTAGCTGTCTGGGTAACCTGCCTTTAAAGTTCTCTCACATCTTGCTCAAAACTGACATGACAATAGATTGGACATGCTTGGTCTCTAACCTGGTAAGAAAAACTGCACAAAAATGAGTTTATAGACAGCTGCAGAAACTTTGCTTTTAAGCATTGTTGATTTCTTATCAGAATAAATTCAGAGGCAATCACTGCTTCTAGGCTACAAAATAAAACCTTAGATGTGCTGTCACTGGGTAGACAAATATTTTGATGTTTGGCATTAACAGATTTTTGTTCAGCTGGATTCTGTTTTTGCTTTCATGCTAACATCTGCTTGCAGTGTGACTGCTTAACACCGGGACTGAAAGGAAGGATTATTCAAGCCTATGTACTCCTACTCCTTTTCTTTCAGGAACATCAGGTTTAAACTGACAAACTGTCTCTCATTCTTTCTCACCTAGCAACCTTTTTATATCCTCTTGAGTTCATATGACAGTTGTTTGTCTTCCCATGAATGCTGTCTGTCCTTAGATTGAGAACTTCACTGAGGTGCTGGTTGTTTTACCTGGATGCTTGAAAAGATCCTGCTGTGTTATAGTTGTGGGAGTTAGTAAGTAGTTGTCTTGATCACGAAGTGGTTAGAACACAGGTCAGGAGCTTGGATGGCCCAACCTCAGACAGAGCTTTGGAACAGCCAGGTTATCCTTATACATGGGGAGTGTTTAGATGGGGATAGTTGTAAACTGGTTGCATGCCAGCAGACAAAAGAGTTCGTGATGGCTCTTCCCTGATAACTTACTACACAGATTAAAGCCATTCTTTGGTTTAAAGCTGGTGTGAATAGAAGGGAAAGGGCCCTAACTAAATAAGGAAATGAAAGGAAATATTGTTACCATGAGAAATTAAAGGACCTAGATTTATGAGTTGACCAGGGTTTCCTCCTCTCACCCCCAACAAGACCAAATACAGAACTAATAGTGGTAGAAGTCCTACCACAAAGGTCTGATGTAAAGTCTCTGTTCTGTCTTCAGAAAACTGTGGTTTTGAAAATGTTAGTTGGCTGAAGGGAAGGGGAAATAAAATTGTTTTGTTTTCCCACCAGTATAAGAATGAATAGGATGGATTGCTTATCACTGACTTGTTTTGAAGTCGTTATGTTTTCCTAAGCACAACATGATTGCAATAGAAACTGTGGCAACATCAGGAAGCTTCCATATTTCTTTGCACGTAGCACCAGCTGTTAGGGACAATCTTCAGTCCATTCTCTTAGGATTTCTTCAGTGTTATTTAAACTTGCTGAGCACAACTGTCTAAGGGTAAATAAACACCTTTAGAGGTTCATTATGCTTGCCTATATATAGACTTCAATTCACAGCACAAGGAGAGCAAAAATTGGTCACTCTTAGCTTTCATGAAGTATCTTTTCCTAAAATGCGAATAGGCATGAATTGTTTTCCCTCCTTGAGTTCTGTTGTACACCCATTGATCTCAGTTTAAAGGGATTTAAACTGCATTCTTGTAGAGGGAAAGCAGGTGAGGTTTGATTTCATACACCGAGTTCAAGTGCCTAGAAGACACCTTGCCTCTTATTACTGTAGGCTTCTGTGGCATGGATGGAAAGAAATAGTTGCTTCAGATAGGGCATCTAAACTATTTTGGGGCAAGTCTGTAGAGCACTAATAGATCCTACTCTAAATATGTTGTGACTG